CAATTTACATTATATAGAATGTGACGTCACAGTATCTGAATAACAGTGGGTAAGTGACAGAAAAGTTCACGAAGCAGAAACCAGGACCAATGCCAATAGTAATTAGAACCCAGCCATGTGTGCATTGCTGTACGACGCCCTGACAGTGTTGTTGTTCCCGCACGCGGCCCACGTCCCGCGATGACTCCTGGTGTCACCGAGAGTGCGAAAGGGAGAGGCGGCCGGCTTGAGGGAGACGGCCATGTGTCACACAGGGCCACTCCGCCCCCGTATGACTTTGTCTCTTCCTTCTCTTACGATCCAGTTTACTGCAGGGCTGTGCGGATTGGAGTAGAGTGGGCGCCCAGGGGTAGTAGTAGGGAGTAGAGGCAACGGGAGAAAAGGGGAAAGGGGGCAAGGGGCAAGGGGAGCAGAGAGGTAAGAGCACCTGTCATTTTACAGCGCGGGGAGCGGCGGTGGCGGCGGCGGTCAAATCCCCTTCTACTGCCCTACCCGCCCTTTCCTATCTGAAGAGTCGCCCACGCGCGCGGAGCGAGGGAGACGGAGTGAGTAAAACACAGAGAGAGAGAGAGAGAGAGAGAGAGAGAGAGAGAGAGAGAGAGAGAGAGAGAGAGAGAGAGAGAGAGATACTAACTTGACGACCGAGAACCTAACCCCACCTTCATCTCACGCAGCTCACCCCCTGACCGACGATTTGACCCCTCCCCTTCTCCTCACCCCCCGCTGCTCCAGAGATGGCTCGAGGGCTGGATGCTGTGGATCTCCACTGCTGCTGCTACAGCTGCTGCTGCTGCTGCTGCTGCTGCTGCTGTGGCAGCGGCGGTGACCAGACTGTACAGCTTTTACAGCCGGACTGACCGTCCCCAGTTATAGCTGTCTGAGGGAGGTGGGCCCGAAGGACCCAGCCGGGGCGCGCATGCGTTCCCCTGCATCGCGCGTGACGCGCACGGGCCGAGCATGAGCAAGCAGCGCAAGACCGACGGCTCACTTAGGCCTGCTGCTGCTGCATAGTTGTGCACAAACATAACTACAAATGCATAGCTATATGCAAAGATTTTACGTGACTGTGCACGCATTTGTGAAAGTTGGAGCATGGTTACGCATTTGTGCATGAAAAGTTGTGCATCACTGTGGCTGCTTCAGTACTGTGCAATTGAATGCAATTTTGATGCCCCACCAAAATTTAAAGAAAAAACTCAAGCTAAAATCCGCACGATAAGATATTTGCACCACTTTGTGTTGTACGACCGGAATAAATTTCATCTTCCTGAGGAGTTTTGACTCCGTATAAGTTGTTGAAAGCGTATGTTTCCCCCTAAATACGCAAAGTTTAAGATTCATCAGCAGCGACAACAAAGTCACTGCGTATTCGATAAGAATGGGTCGTAACAATTCCGTTTCACCCTAGTTTCCTTTTTTTTTCTAGCCTTATAGGGACCGACAGCACACTGCGCGAAATTCTACCCCCCCCCCTCCCCATGATTAATGACGCCCCCTCACACTTTGCACATTTTCGCGGCGGGCCGAGCCGGGCCACCTAATCACCATAATCTGGGCACGCCCCGCTACGCGTCGTTCAGTTGCCAAAGCAAGGAAAATAGAGCCAAAAAAAGGGGGGGAGAGGGGAGGGAGAGAGGGGGGAAAAAGTCCGCGCGGGCCTGTCGATACGGGACCCGTAAATCACAGCGATATGTGTGCCGTTTGGTGTTAAGAGGGCACCGCACCGCGCCTCGCCACGCCCTGTACCGCAAACAGATAGCACCAGGAGAGAGGTATGAAAGAATCAGAGAGCTCGGCC